TTTTTTTTTTGAATTATATGCAAAATTCATTTTCACCCCGCAGATTTGCAAAGCTTTCATGCCCAATTACCAGAAACAAATTAACATCAATCTGTTATACGTTTATACATTTAATAGCTTTGCATATATTCTTTAAAAAAATGTAATACACGAAATATGCGAAATGAATAGAAAATGGTTGCAACCCCCTGAAACAAATTTCCATTCGGGTCTCCCTATTACCAGTTTCCTATAAAAATATCAATTTGCACGAACGTCCACATTCTCCAAACGGCGCATAAATTTGTAGCAATTTGAGCGTATTCAAAAAGCGACTTTGAAACAACGTACGTGAAAATTCATAGTTCCTCGAAACAATATCGTAAATCGCGCTACGCGAGAGTTTCTAAAAATATTTCCACAAAGCGGCACGTAACTCCACGAAGATGCCCGGTGAACGCAGCAGGATCTGGAGTTTAAATAGTCTTCATTTCCTGGTCGACGGTTGAAGAACGGTTCCGTTCTTGGCGAGAAAATATCAAGCGTTCCCGGGTTAATGTTGCGAACGAAGTATGTGACACGATAAAGGATCGCGCGCGCGTATCCTCCGTGGAACTCGACTATTGACTCCTGATATTCACCCTCTTTTCCGCCTCGTAAACACGCCGCTCGGCCGCGAAAAAAGAGCCCCGGAGGATGAACTGCGCGCGCGGAAGTGACGCGTGAAAAGGGTGTGTCATTTACGAATTTATTTTATCGAGAGGGTGTGAACGGTTTCTCTCCAGAGCCAGAACCTCTATCACCGTGAATGCTAGCATGACTTGCGACCGTTTGCCAATTTATTTCGCGCCTACCTCCGACGCGCGTGTCCCCTTTCTTATTATCAGCCGCGGCCTTCGCCGCGAGATTTTCCTTGAGCTTCAGGCGAAACTGGAACGTTGGTTCTTCTCGAAAAAAATGAAGTATTCCAGGAGGAAATCGGATTTTGTCTTATCTTTTTGAGATCCTTTAAGATATCTCCTCTGTTTGCGCGTCACAGCGGTCACGGCTAATTTTTGCAACGATCAAATAACTCTAAGGGAAGATCTCGAAGTGATAATCGTCGATGCTGATGAAACATTGGTATGTATAGTACTGAAAAAAATATTTGACAGGATATTTGAAGGAGTGAAAATCACTCTGGAACATATTTGTTCAAAGTTATTCAGTATTTTCAACTTTTCAAATTCGTCGTCGATGTTGTTCTATATGTATGTGTTCTAGTTCGTAGTTATTTTGCACTATTTTACGCGCGCACCGGTAACACGCGATGATTACTGGACCCCGAATTCTGCGGAATATTCCGTGACCCCGCAGATAATACGCCGGAATGAATGTTTATTCGTGCGTGAAGGGATCATTTTAAATTTGATGGTATTTGTAGCAGGTTGAAATATGCTTTGCATATTTACGTTTCAGATGGCACCTGATGTTACGAGCGAAACGGGGCGGCCTCATATATCGTGGCGATCTTTACATACGCGCGTGGCAGTTGCAAAGTGAATCTCGCCGTCGAGCACATCAGCACCAAGGGAATATCTGCTTATCGGTAAGTAACTTTCGTATTTTTCATGTAACAGTGACAATACCGCGGTAAAATAGAAAAATCCTACCTATCTTGACACTTTAAACGCCGGACCCGCTTTAAGGGGGTATTCTAGTGCGACAGCCGTTCTTTTAGGCCTTCTTTGCTAATTTATTATAGAAGTTCAGTAACAGTTACTAACACGAGCTTCATTCCTATGTATTCACCTCTCCTTGAAGAGTGATTACAAATTTTTTTGTTGAAAAATAATTAAACATGGCTAGTATGGAACACGTCAAACAGGGGTATGAACAAAAAAAGTACGTTGCTGGTTGCCATGATTCAGCGATTAAGCGCCGGGCTCGCCTAAATACGTTTTTGCATGTTCCTGCAAAAAAAGATATATCTCTTGAACAGCAAGTGGCTGAATATTTATAACGTTAAAAATCGTCGCGGTGCCTGTAATAAGCACTATGTGAAATTTTCTGTTCTACAAGAGTAAAAGTAAACTCGTAGACATTGCGCCGCTCTAAGTAAAGTTTCCAACAAAATAGCTTCAAGTGTTAATAGTCTCAAAAAATAGTCTCAAGAAAAAGAAATTCGCAGCTCATTATGCGTATAATTTGGGTAAGATTTACGTAACCGTTTCACCGTACCGCGAAAATAATTAATCATCCTCGAGGACTCGCGTAGTTAAACTCCGAAAACCGAGATCGCGAAACTTCAGATAATAAAATTTATTAGCTTCCTCTCGAACGGGAAACTACTTCCACAAGAAGAACGACACGATCGGAAACGGCTACACAATATTAATACTTCTATTAAGTTTCCAGACCGCTCGACGTTGATCCTGCTTTATGACCCTTTCGCTTTGATCCGCGCGTTTTAATATTTCCGCCTGGTTCTTTAGCCCGCGTTCACTTCATTTCACGTCCGAGCGTAAGTCCCTTCTCTGTCGCGGGGGAAACGCAGCGATAAAAGTAATTGAACAAATTAGTCGAAGGAGAGATAGAAAGAGAGAGAGAGCCGGATACCGCGAACCGGTCTTGCACTTTCGTTCTGGTCGCCTCTTAAACTCTTTCGTAGATTAATTGAGATTCTTCGGTCACGTCGTATCGCCATAATTCTAATTAAATAGATTCGGCTCCGCTCGGTCTCCTTCCTCTTCCCTTTTCCTTCCTCCATTCCCCCTAGCCAACCCTATACAGCACCCCACTAGTCGGAACAGTTCGTTCCAGTCGTTAAAGATTTAACTCGTAGAAACTTGGCCACTTTGAGTCATTGCGCTCTCTTTCTGTGCTTTCTTGTTTCTCCGCGAGAAGTGTTTTCTATCGATTTTTGCAACTATGCTGGTTACTTGGAATTGGGAATTTTCGTGAAATGTTCGAGGCACGAATGGTTAGTAGATGTTGTATAAATACTCATTGTGTGACACAATTTTCGTGCAATGAAATTCGTTCTACAAATGCTGGTTACTTGGAATTGGGAATTTTCGTGAAATGTTCGAGGCACGAATGGTTAGTAGATGTATAAATACTCATTGTGTGACACAATTTTCGTGCAATGAAATTCGTTCTACATAGCTGTACGTTGTGGTTCATAAATGTTTGGATACTCGTGTTGACTGATGACGATACGATGTGGTTATCGTTATTGCGACTGTTTTGAAGGAGAGTATGTTTGTTTAAAATCATTTTGTATTAACAAAATTTCATTAGTTTTATTTACATTTTAAAAAGAAGCGAAGGAGAACGTACAAAGTGTCATCTGAAAATATCCAACTGATTTTCGGACGACCTTAGTGCCTCCAGTAATTGTAAATGAATTTACACCTTCACAAAAACATTTTCCAACTTTGATCTCGCAAAAATAACAACTTTTCATATTTATCATATCTGCACTTCCCTTCACAATGTCATCTTTGTGGAGTCAATAATAGCAACCATCTCCAACAAACACAATTCTCAATCTCTCAATCAGCTCTCCCTCTTCAGCCAAAAAACAAATTCCCTATCTACTTAAGCACACTTCGAAAAAGCAGAAAAGTGTTCCCCTCGCCTCCCTTAATTTCCAAAAAACC